GTTATCATTTAGACATATATAAGTTAACTATTGTTATCATACAAACATAGGTAAATTAACTATTGTTATCATATAGACATATATAAGTAAAATATTGTTATCATACAGATATAGATTAGTTAACTATTGTTATCATATAGACAAAGATAGGTAGATTATTGTTACTATAAAGACAAAGGTAAGTTAACTATTGTTATCATACAGACATAGATAAGTTTACTATTGTTATCATAAAGACAAAGATAAGTTAACTATTGTTATCATTAAGACAAAGTTAAGTTAACTATTGTTATCATTAAGACAAAGATAAGTTAACTATTGTTATCATACAGACATATATAAGTTAACTATTGTTATCATATAGACATAGATAAGTTAACTATTGTTATAATACAGACATATATAAGTTTACTATTGTTATCATACCGACAAAGATAGGTTAACTATTGTTATCATAAAAACAAAGATAAGTTAACTATTGTTATCATTAAGACAAAGATAAGTTAACTATTGTTATCATACAGACATAGATAAGTTAACTATTGTTATCATATAGACATAGATAAGTTAACTATTGTTATCATACAGACATAGATAAGTTTACTATTGTTATCATAAAGACAAAGATAAGTTAACTATTGTTATCATACAGACATAGTTAAGTTAACTATTGTTATCATATAGACATAGATAAGTTAACTATTGTTATAATACAGACATATATAAGTTAACTTTTATACCGACAAAGATATGTTAACTATGATTATCATACAGACATAGATAAGTTAACTATTGTTATCATACAGGCAAAGATAAGTTAACTATTGTCATCATAAAGACAAAGATAGGTTAACTATTGTTATCATATAGACATAGGTAAGTTAAGTATTATTATCATACAGACATAGATAAGTTAACTATTGTTATCATACAGGCAAAGATAAGTTAACTATTGTCATCATAAAGACAAAGATAGGTTAACTATAGTTATCATACAGACATAGATAGGTTTAATATTGTTATCATGCAGACAAAGATACATTACCTATTGTTATCATATATACAACGATAAGCTAACTATTGTTATCATATAAACAAAGATAAGTTAACTATTGTTATCATACAGACAATGGCTAGATAACTATTGTTATCATATAGACAAAGATAAGTTAACTATTTTTATCATACAGATATAGATACATTAACTATTGTTATCATATAGACATAGATAAGTTATCTACTGTTATCATGCAGGCATAAATCAACGATACCGAGTGATCGTGTTGCCGATGTAGACACAATATACTTGGAAATACTGACTTTAAGTTAGCCGAGAAAATGGTACGAAAAACTGTTCAATAAGTTTTAGACATTTGAATCGAATAAACAATCGTCTTTGACTGAAAGGACTAAGGGCGATAAGGGTCATTTCCGGCCTCACCTTGGATTTAGAATTAGTTTTTATATTCGTTATCTGGAATAAATGAAGTACGCAAATATGAAATTTCAAATACATTCGACAACTGATTTAGGAGATATGACATTACAAAGAGAGACATAAACCCGCATTTTCATAATATCTACTTGGTTGAAAATTCGCCATTTAGAAGGAAATTAACTAGACAGTTTTCAATATTTTTGAAAGCCTCCACGTGCACCAAACAAACAACTATTTGACATGTTTAGATATCGTCATACCAGTGTTATTTGTAAAATAGAACGTTTGTTTGTCACATTTGAAGGCTTTTATTTCTGCATGCTAACTGAAGTGCATTTCTCCTAAAGGCATTATAAGCGCCTTTACATTGAATTTTGAGATTGCGGTTTTTTCAAGCATATGCTATAAACTTTCCAAGATATCGACTATGCAAAAATCAGACAAAATTCACTTAATATGAACACGTTACTATGGTAACCATAATTAAGAATACATATAAATGTTTTCATAATAGTATCAGCTATTCAAAAGTATTCAAAACTAAAGCAGCGCTCGTTTGAAAGTTCAATTAAGCTTTTAAGATATATTGTATTTGGAGACCATAAGAAGGCCCAAAGCACCTTTTATTTGAAGAACAGGGCACAGCAAGTAAACTGGATTAGAAATAATTTCACGTGAAATAACGAAAAAGATTGCCAAAGTTATTAGAGTCAATCAATTCGACTTAGCCTTAAGGAGAAATCCCGGAATCCGTGTCCAGTTATCACCTTTACTTGTTACTTTCCTGGTGTGTCTAAAATGCGGTCCGGGGGCAATCGACTTATGACGTCATTTTTGCTAATTCGATCGGGGTATGTTTTTTAAATGGTCAATTTTGGCGGGTGACAGGTGAGATTGTCTGTCAAAAGATATGACACCTGAGAGATGCACGGGTCAGTTTTAATCGTTTTTTTTTTATTGTTCAGCCGTATAGACCTAAGGCTCCAAACCGCTGTCAATCGTTTAAGAAAACAGACGTCCACTTTTAAGAGGAAACTACAATATGTCTGCCGCTGTTTGTAAATATTGCCATAAGTCGTTTTTGAAATTCTTCTTTATAGTGAAAGGATGGACAAATTTTATTCTGCATGAGTAATCGATATGGTCGATGATTTTGATAACAAGCTATTGATTTCTCCTGTATCGATTGACTAACAGGTGGTCACTGTCCAGTGTCCGATTTGTTAATTAGATCGATCGTTTTACTCGTGACGTAACCCAATTTGTTCAAAGCCTGGTTAGCTTAACAACAGAAAAAAAACCACACTTTCATCTGGATATTTAAAAAAATACTGGTATTCAAAAGTAAACTTACATGTATAGCCATTTAAAATCAACATGAAGACAAGACACACAGAAATATGTGTTGAATATTTCTTTACAAATACATTTTTAAAACGGGTACTTCAAACAGTTAGGCCCCAAAGGTTTCCAACCTCCTTCCAGATGTATGTTTTTTGACCAGCGAGGCCTAGGAGGTTTCAGTCAATCCGGGGTTCGTTCTCAGAATAATACATTAGGTTAATATTTCCAACTGTGCTTTTCTCATAACAATTGAATATGAAAAAAGTACACATAACCTTAGAATCGGGACATTCATCTACAGATATTATACACAAAATGGTCAATTCTTCATATTAAACTTTTAAAAAAATGAGTTTGAAAAATTAGCCTTTGACGAAACGTTACATAGACGATATAATAATCATATATAAAACGGGGATGGGATGGGGGGG